GAATGGCTCTGCTACCATTTAAGGCTGCATTCAGATTTTACTTTCTGTTTCCACCATGGCTGAGTTCAAGTCGTGGATTACATGCCAACTATATTGGGCAGCCAGTTCCTGCTGGCCTGCTGGATGCCAGCTTGAAAGAAGCTTCACTTTGATTCACTCTTGCTGTGCCGGAGAAGACCAAAAGGAGAAATATTTCCCAGTGAGGTGTTAACTGCAGTATAGTTGTGCTGCAGAGAGAGTTCCACAGTGACATCAAGAAGCCTTTGTTGAAAATCCTATGGAACAAGTGTAAGCCTTGAAGCTGAAAAATTAATATTTTCCCCTTTTTCATCACTTATTGAACCACATTGAATATATAAATTTCTTTTTTTGTCTGGGTTGAACTGTATGAATATATTTGGCAAACTTTTAGTCTGAATTGTCAGGTTTTACATCTTCGCCATAAAACTTGCTAGAATTTTGGTCTGCCTGATGTATTCAAGGGCATCCTTAGCTTAAATTTATCCCTCTTCATTGTTCATCTGGTAGTTGGGCTGGAAAATAAAACTTATGGGGAGGGGCTGGGGGAGTTGGGGCTGTTTAGCCTGGAGAAGAGGAGGCTGAGGGGAGACCTGATTACGGCCTATAAATACTTGAGAAAAGATGGTGGGGAGGTAGGGGAAGGGCTCTTTACATTAGTGATGGGTGATAGAACAAGGGGAGACGGGCATAAGCTTAGTCAGGGGAGATTCAGGTTGGATGTTAGGAAGTATTTCTTCTCTGAAAGGATTGTCAGCCACTGGAATAGGCTGCCCAGGGAGGTGGTTGAGTCCCCATCCCTGGATGTGTTTAAGAATAGGGTGGATGATCTACTTGAGGATATGGTTTAATGGGGATTAGGGATGGTTGGACTCGATGATCTCTAAGGTCTTTTCCAACCTAGAAATCTATGAATGAAATCTATGAATAAGGAACATAGGTGCAATACACTGGGCAGGACAAGCGAAGGACACTCAAACTAATAGCAAACAGAGTTAGTTCAGGTGTATTTGATCACTGCTTCTTAAATATTTTGAGTCTATCTGCAAATGTCAGATAAACCAAACTTGGGAAGACAAATTATTTTTGCTGATATTTTGTGTTAAATGAGAAAGTAGTGGCAATTGACGGTAAAGAAGCAGTCTAATAGCCTTAAAAATCTTGGGCTTTCATTCATTTCACCGTATCAGGCATCAAAGTCTCAGGAAGGACTGCACAGCACAGTCCTATTTGGTGATGTAGAGCCGTTATTCATGTGCCGTTCTGTAGGAATATTTCATCTGTTTCCTTTGAAACGGTGTGGCGTTTGTGGTGGGGCTTTCGGAGGAAGTGATCCAGTGCATCCCTGGAAAAGGGATTGTTTAATCTTCTCTCCCCTTCTCCTCCCTGATGGCTGCACTAGAAATGACTCGTCTGCTCTTTTGATGTCCTTTATGTAACTTAAAGGGCATCTTCTAATGAGCTAGACCGAATGGAGGGCTAAGGTAAAATCTTCACTTCGTTTCAGAGAATTTAGAGACCTTGGAGGAGTCACGTCTGCAATTAATTGAATTTCAAAGACTCGGACTTTGCAAACACTTCTTTGAACTCTCCATGTGATGTGTTCAGGGGCAAAAAGCATGTTTTGCTTCAATGTCTATCTAAACCTAGTCCAGTAAGGATTAATTTGTTGCAGTTCTGGAGGTCTTAGATATAAGTCATTATCTGTGAACTTCCTAAGAAGTTCCTGTAAGTGTGAATGGGAAAAAATGCCATCAACCAAACAAAAAAACCTTGTAATCATGATTGAAGTAATGTAACTTCCAGTGTGGGCAAAGTAAGGAACCAGCTAATTTTGAGAAGGAGGGAGGCAAGGTAATGCGGACCTTCCAGCAGCCTTGCGATGTGAATTTCCCACACTTGGAATGTCAATGTCACAGTGAAAAAACAATACTAGTAAATAAAGTGTTAAGACTGGATATACTACATAAGTTACACAATCTCCCAAACATCTAGAGTGTTTCTTTGTTTTGTTTTGGTTTTTTTTCCCCCCCATGTGTGTAACTTGTAAATTAGCTTTCCTCTTTGTGGGAATACATTTGTTATGTGTGAGGTTTATTTTCTTTTTGGTTAGTCATTTGACAACTCTCCATCTGGGCCCTGAAGCCTAGGATAAAGATGCACTGCGTGGTCCTATCCTATTGCTGTCTTGAACGTGATATATAGGTATTACAGCCTCTTTTTATAGCTCACGTTTTGTGTTCTTATTTGCCCCAGTTGGTTGTTGCTGCAACGAAGTTTTGCTCTTGGCATTTAGCAAGGGTTGGGAGAAAAATGCAGACTAAGAAACTCTGAGGATGCTCAGAATATTCACCATTCTTTCTAAAATTAACTTAGCAAACTGATCGATCTGTCATGTTCTTGGGAACAAAAATACCTGGCTCTGAGTTGCAGTATCCTTGGTCTGGAAAACGGGCGTAATAGATGCGTAGTTCGTAAGAGACCTTGTGAGTCTTGCCTGGGTAGCTGGAGTTGTGGGGGTTAAGGGATGTGTTTTAAGTGATGGGCAATCAATGTTGGTGAAAGCAATCTTGTAACTATTGGGGGAAATGGCAGGAACTGAGAATGAGGTTTTTGCATGTATAATATCAGACAATAGTCTGACCTAAGGATATTTCCTGATTGCTTTCATATTGTCAGTGTATTTATTTTTTTTTTCCTTCTGCTTGCTGTATGCATGTTCTGTCAGGCAGGCATGTATAGCCTCCTGCAATTGCTGATGCTATCAAATTAACCATTGCTGGTTTTAGGGTTGTTTTTCTCAAATAACTAACAGGTAGCAGCTGGCAATGAAATTTTCAGTGGCAGAAATGTACTTAGTATCAATATAGGGAAATGATGGAATATCTTTACTTCTGTGCTGTTTTTCAGACTGCTCTGCAATGACTACAGCAAGATACAGGCCTACCTGGGACTTGGTACTTGACCCATTAGTGTCCTGCAAGCTCTGCCTTGGCGAATATCCCGTGGAGCAGATGACAACAATAGCACAATGCCAATGCATCTTCTGTACCCTGGTGAGTTTGCTTTTTTTTTATTAGGCATAAAAAAACCGCACAATTTTAACTGCAGAAATCATGTGTGTTTCAGCTGAGTGGGTTTCACCCTGAAGTGTTGATGCTGCAATGGAAATAAATACTGTTGCTGTTTACTTGACACAAATGCTAGCAAGTAAAGTGCTCTGTTTTCCTGTTTAGAAAAAAGGTTTTTACTCAGCGTTTCCATATACTGCTGTGTACAGCTACCTCTTTAGCAAGGTTATTCACATTTTCCCTTTTATCTTGTACCCTTTAGCTTGGATTTGAGGGTGTTTTGTTTGTTGGTTTTTGCGGTGTTTTTTTTTTAACTGTAGCCCCAAGTCTTTCTGGAACAGAGCCATGCGCACACTTGTAACTAGAAGAGTATTTAATATATTATAGATTTTAATTTCACTCTATCATAATTACAATCATGTAACAGGTTTTCATTACCATATTGCACAAATGTGTGCCTAGAATAACAAGAATCTTGCAAGTGCAAAATGCTTTTTGGTGAACATAAGTGTAGTGTGTAGCAAAGATTATCATTACAGTAAATTGGTATTGCTAGTTACAAACAGAGAAACAAAAGTAGTAGCAGTTTTCCATCTCTAATGATTTGGAATTAAACTGTTAGATCCTTTAATTTTGCAATGGGTGCAGG